AAAACAAAAAAAAAACCATCAAGGAGAGAATATAGTTTTCTCTTTTCGTTTGGAAATTCTTTTTGAAATTAGACAATTCATTCACCTGCCTATAGAGCTGATCTTCAAAGCCTTTTGTAAAAAAACAAAATACAACCATCTATATAACATTTTTTGTTGTCAGTAATTAAGTACTTCCATTGTGAAAGTGACCAAGTAGTGAACATGCAAATTAAGATGAACTTTCTGGAAATGTATAATTAGAGGATAAAGAGAGATAGCATTGAAAATAGAGAACTAACACGGCGGTTTATACATCAAACACCAAAAAATGATGAAATATATTTTTAACAAAAAGAACATATCATACATGGGACTTGGGAGAGACGTTCAATTTGATTATTGATTAAAAAAACAAATTAAGAATTATAAATGCAATCAGTATAAATTGTCCATAAAGCTTTTCTAAACCTTCTTTTTTTTCATCTGATCTCGAAGAAATAAAAAACAATTCCAAGATTACATGCAAGCTAGAGCCACCTACCATATTAAATAATTGAACGTTAAAATGATGAACCAAGGCTCTCTGATTTGTAACAAAAAAAAAAGGATATAGACTCTTCATCGACTTTAAATCTTCGTATGTAGATATATTACATAAAAAGCTTTAAAATGATTAATAGCAGTACAGCTATATTTGTTAACATGTTTAAAGTTATGTGGTGCTATTTTAAAAAAAAACTGGCTTTGGACAAATGAAATCCAGAAGCACAGAGAACTAATTAACTCTAATCATCATTAGATTTTCATTTTCAGAGCCTTCAAAGTTAGTTAGTAAATTGTACTATGTGAATTTTTGAAATACATATATTTTCACCTATTACGGATTCGTTGTTAAAACCCTTAAACAAAAATATTTATCACTTTTATGATAAAAAAAACTCATTAGTTATAAATGCAATTAGATATAATTGTCCATAAAGCATTTCTAAGTCTCCTTTTTTTTCATCTGATCTCGAAGAAATAAAAAGAAACTTCCAAGATTACATGCAAGCCACCATATTAAATAAATATTTTTTGTTTTGTCAGTTTCCAATAAAAGGAAGCCGTTGTATTTAATAGAGAGACAAACTCTTCCAATAAACCTAATCGTCATTATCTATTTCTCACTTCGTCTCTCCACTTCACCACATTTAGAACATTTTTGAAAATTTCCATGGCTCAAAAGAATAGGAAGCAAGTCATCAAGCCGGTGGAAGATTCACCAAGCCACAATGACAAAGTGGAAGTGGAAGAACAACATGTAGACGAGACACTCAAAACTCATCCTTCGGGTGCACTCTCTGAAACTGAAACAGAGAATCAAGTTTCGACCGTGGCTGTCCAAAAGACAAAGAAGACTAAGGTTCTTGCATCCGTAGAGGAGAAGCCGAAAGTTTGCCAAAAACTTTTCACTGATGACGACGAGATCCGTGTGCTACAAGGCATCATCGATTTCAAATCTGAATTTGGTAAGCTTCCATATTCTAGTAAGGATAAAACTAGTATATACGAACGTGTGAAGAGTTCTATTAGCTTTGAGGTTACTTGTGAACAATTCATGGAGAAGATCAAGACTTTCAAGAGGAAGTTTATGGGTCAGTTGGAGAAAAAGGTTTATGCGAAAGCTCATGATCAGAAGATATTTGACCTGTCCACGACTATTTGGGACCGTGATGTTGAATCTACTGCTGC